TTTCCTAGCCATCGTTCAAGATGTGGAGCATAGTAGCAAATTTCTGTGGGCGTGTTTTCAACCAGTCGCTCGAGGTCAGTAGCCAAGTGAGACAGAAGTTCTCTGGCCAAGTCACTGCAGTTTGAGTGCAATTCACTCATTACGTGATAACCTGAGTGCTGATTTATGGTGACATTGTCTATTGGTCTGCCAGGGGTGCATCTCCACGTTACGACCTGTTGTTTATCTAAAAGTTGATTGTCATTATTTTCTGCAGGCCAGGTGGAGAGTCCGTCTGGCCAGTTAATAACTGCTGCACATTGATTGAGCTGTTTTAGCTTTGATTTTTGCACTGTTTGGTAAACAAGTAGAGTTGTAAGTAGACCAGAGAACATTATCACGGAAGTGTATCCAAGTGAGATCTTGTTTTTAGGCATCGTGTAACCGCAGCGACACTCGGCTATCCACTTCTCTGGGCCTTTCGTTGACCCGCGTGCAAAGCAAAATCGATAGCATATGTGGCTCTTCTTTGAACGGACTGGACGTTCGCTCCATCACGTGCTACTACAGGTCACGTGACTTAGGACTGCCTACACTCGAGGAAATGACTGTAATCGTTTGGTCACATAAAGTTCCACTTTGCTTCCCTATGGAATTGACATTCCTTGCACACTGTAAAAGAACTGGCGATACTAAAGTATCCGTATCGATAAGCCTGTTAGTAAGTATCTAGCATGAAGGGCGCCGCAGCTCAACCGTCGTCGGACACGAGACAGGTATAGCTTAGTTATTATAAGTGTTTTGGTCAATCGAAGAAACCAGTAGGCCGAATAACATGTATTAAGGTGACTTAAATCTGATTAGCTTCAGGCCGTGTAGCCGCTAAGCCATATTCGCTCATTTCCTCACTCAAACAATGTCGAGAACCCTTTAATCCTGTGCAGTATGTGGACTTTCAGACCTCATTTTCATCATCGGTTCACATAATGTGAGATGCATTTGTAATCTAGTCACACTGGCGACCAGCCACTCGTGGTCGGATGGCATATGGTCCAACTACTGAGCAGAAGCTAGCGGGTTTGAATACCTTCAGAGGTTCGTGTGGATAGCAAGAGTGAACGGCTGCACATTGCTCCTAGGTTTTTCGGCATAGACTCAGTTTAGTTGATGGATGGAACTCCCATTAAAGTGTGTTGTCGGAATTGCTGGACTACTGAATTCGAAGTATTTCAGCGTCGAGCTTGCCCTGCGTGAATAAGCGAGTTCTGGAGACCGCAGTGGTCTACAGGGCATCACGTGAATCCAGTCAGATTAAGATGACATGAACACGAGCTATTTATCGTCTACCATCGTCCACGAAACAGGATCCTCATTTCAGCTGGGTACTCCTAGGACTAGCTTAACGAACGTTTGAAATGATCAGAAAATGGAACGAAATCAAGAAATGAAAGCAGCTGATAAGAAATTCAGTGCAGTGAACCTTCCTACATCTGCACTCGAATCATATTCCTCGGTTTGTACACGTTTCAAAATCTCACATGATGTTGTGGGGAAGCCAAAGTATGGAACAATGTGAAATCATTGCTTGACTATCGTCTGTCACAACTCAAGTTTTGTAGACATATTGGCAACTTTTAATCTCATAGGTGATGTAGTAGGGTTTGTTCACCAGGAATGTGTTGGATATGGTTCATGAGTATGGTGATATAGTGGAAACTGGAAGGAAGTTGTCCCACGGTTACCCTCTAGCTCGTACAAGGTGTTTGAGTGCGTGTGTTCCAATACTGTTAGAGAGCGATTTTTGCTTATTTTTCATCATTTTCCATCTATTTAAGAGAACACTGTGCGCTATGTTCCAGCTTGACTTACGTAGCACTGTACTTACGGTCACACAACCAGCAAACTTGTATTGGAGAGTGAACTGCTCTTAGTTCCCCAGTGACATCTCAAAATGTTGTGCATATATTGCAACTGCATAAATATCCAAGCCAAAAAACAGAAACTTCTATTCATGCTAGTTCCCAAGTGTGATCTATCAGTGTTTCCACAATTTCCATCTGTTTGCCGAATATACACTCATATCAAGCACCGATCGACGGTGAATGCTTCAGAACCAGTTCGTAACTCACTATGGTTACCAAACACGTTGAAAAGTTGATTTGTTGGACGCAAATGTGAGACCATAGCTACCGAAGTACATCATAAAGATTTACTGCGAATGAATAACCAAGATGTCGGTGTTCACCTGACCGATATGTTCAGCAGAGAGGTGATGTGAATGGCTCCATCTGGCTGCAGTTTAGTCAGAAAAGACGTCAGCTAAACGTCCATGGTTTTTTGGCGCATGTGGACACTCATTCTTTTGTTTTTCCAGCTTTTGTGACCTTTGACTAGTTCCTAGAAGACTGAGGTTTCTACCATCTGGCACTGACGAAGATGTTGATCCCGATGTCGGAAATGTTGAAGCGATTGTATCCCCATAGCACGTGACGTCATTCATTCACTGGGTAGCTGCAAATGCCTCGAAACAAAACCCAACGAATATTAACGGTAGGAAGGTTCAGGAAGGGAAGGCTATATACTCTAGTCATGTAGAACCAAAGGACAGCTATATACTCTAGTCATGTAGAACCAATACAGACACCCTTCGATATCGAAAGCGTCGCTGAGATTGCTGACGCTGGCGGTGCTAACATTTTTCTGTCTTCCAAGAAGCACAATGCCTAAGTGTTTGCTCAATTCCACGTTTATGAACAGGCCTGACAACACTCTCTGCTTCGTCAGCAGTGTGCTGTGCTATCTTAAATCCTAGCATTGCACGAAATGCCACCTATGAATGTTAATTGGAAGCGTTTTTGGGTAACAGGATTAGCTGGTAATCGCTCCGGAAAAAAGCGTATCTCCAGCTATTCGAGCGTTCTTCTGAAAAGCTCTGGAGAAGGGAACTTGTATCTACAACAGTACTCTAAACCGGAAGGGACGCAAGATTTGCTATCCGAGCTGCCTTACTTGAAGGTCAAAAGAAACGATCTAATGCTGTTTGTCATCTTAGCTGAGGATCTCCAGACTCAACAACATACTTACGTGATACCAAAACTTCAGTCAGTCCGGATGAAAGTTACCTGCCAAGCAGCCACTGGAATAATTGTCTTAGTTTTGAGAACATTCAGAGTCCGATTCCCAGGAGTGTTGATTTCGGCAACTAGATTTACGAAGCCACATGGAACCTCTTCGTTCTTCTTCGGTACTTTCAATATTATGAGGTATCAATATCTGGATGCAAACCGTACTAGCAAAGAGAGTTGTCTGGCTTCATACGTCAGGTTAAACTTAAGCGATGGTCTGTTAACGACAACCCACTCCAATGATGGACTCAGGATAGTTTTTCTGCCGCGCTGACATTCAGAGCGGCACCTCATTGAATGTCACGTGTTTCCGTGAAATGGGAAAACTCAATGGGTTGCTTATCGAACTGAGGCCTTTAACGTACGCAACGTCAAATGTGACTTCAAATTTGAAGGTTATTCACTGTACAGCCGGGGAAATGTACTGTCAAAGGGAGAAAAAATGTGTACAATCTTTACCGCTCACTAACGATCCGTCCATGTCTGCAATCTGATTGCCAAGCTCGGGAAGAGGTCACACGTGTTTCCGTGAAATGGGAAAACTCAATGGGTTGCTTATCGAACTGAGGCCTTTAACGTACGCAACGTCAAATGTGACTTCAAATTTGAAGGTTATTCACTGTACAGCCGGGGAAATGTACTGTCAAAGGGAGAAAAAATGTGTACAATCTTTACCGCTCACTAACGATCCGTCCATGTCTGCAATCTGATTGCCAAGCTCGGCGAAGAGGTCAATAGTCACCTGATCAACAACAACAAAAATTCAGTTTTAAAATTCTTTTCATTTGGCTGAGTGTAAAAATTCTTGAAAAAGGTCACCCACGGCAGCTTAAACGCCGGACGATAACACTGTGTTTTGACTTTAAACTTTCCGTAATACTTTTTCGTTCCTTCAATGGAAAATGCCGATTCTCGTAAGTGGAAATTGCCTGGTTAAATATGTGGAAAGTAAGATGTCACAGGTATGACTGGCAACCCATGATGTGGACCAGTGATCTGCAATTGAATGTCTATTGCCTATTTATGATATCCATATTTATTATGATGGCTGTATATGGTTTCATATCACTAATAACTGTCTTAACCAGCCGTCAAATCCTAGAACCTTGTCGTTACGAACGAAGCGTCTCAATGTGTAAGCGTATGCAGTGGTTCATGTCGAGAGTGGAACAGCCAGTAAGTAAGCCATATCGCCAGCCGTAAGTCTTGCACCACAACAAATGGAGTCTGAAAAACGAGGGATAAGTGGAAAGAGAAAAGTTACACCGTTCATAGCGAGAGTTCCTCCGATAAACGCAGGATGAAAGGTGATACCATTCAAAGCACTGAATCGCTGGGAGATGAACGCTGTTACGATAGTAGAACCCTCGTATAACGACCGCTAACAATACTGTTGGTCAACATGCAGTTTACAAAGGCTGTTTTCGGAGGACCGTGTCTCGGCTGAAGTCACCTGACAATCTGTGGGAACATTTTTAATACGTTCTTTCAGATAAGGTTACTCTGAAGAACCTCAAATTATTTTGATTAGGCAATTTTTAGGGTCATCAAGACGGAAAGAATGCTGCTTTGGAGATGTCAGCTGACTGAAGTGAGTCTGACGCCTTTAAAGAATTTAAATTGCCAAAAACCCGCAGAGTTCAGATATGGTTAGTTTTGAAAGGGACGTATGCATCCGTTCACAACCAATCAGCGGCTGGCTCGTGCGGATTATGGCGGCCACACAACCACGCGTCAACAGAGCCGTAGCCATGCCAACAGGGAAGCGAGTGATTGGTCGGTTCTTAGCGTGACGCACATTCATCGGTTTCGGATATCGTGGTAACAAACAGTGCGACTCCAGATAGCAGTCAGGTTTGAGCAGCTCTGCTGGAGCGATTTCTATTGCAATTCATTATGTTGACATCAGATGCCTTTACGGCTGCGATGGAGAATTTGTCAAAAAACCGAGGGTCCCCAGGAGAATGGTTTGCCCATAAAGCGGATTACCGTGAACCCACGAGACACCCACGCATACGTCCGGAGTCTGTTGGGATTGTGGAAAGAAATCAGCCTCATATCTCGATGGCAGCGCTTGCTGGATTTGAGGACCGACCGCATAGTAAATTTCAGTCATATGAAGAATTTGGAATAGTGCCACGTGACTATACGGACCAACCAATCATAAGACGTGTGCGAACCTTTGAAGCTGAGCTGATTGCAAAGAAATCTCAATCGCAGTCTGATAGATGGCATGACTTTGAGGGTAACCAGACATATCAAGCACCAAGGCCACCTCCACGGATCGGGGCGGGGAGTGATGGCAAGGTGAGTCGTACCCAATTGGAAAGATGTGGTGTTTAAAGGCGTATGGCATCATTACCGATATTTCAAAGGGGATTATTGAGGCCATCAGGAAACGGTAAAAATGGACCAGACTTGGTTGCACGCATATGCTCGTAGGCCTTTGGCCGAACAGAGTTCCTAAACCATGCGTCGTTCGTACTCGCTTTTCAGCCTCTATAAGTATAACATTTCTTATTTCGTGTATAGCATCCTATTTTTCTCTTAGACAATTTGGTCGATACATTTTATCACAGTACTGGCACATCAAACATGAATTGATTTTTGCGACCACTTGTGGCTTTTCACAGCAATAATCAATTGTTTTCAAGTTCCTAATTGTATGGTTTATATTCCGTCATTTCCAGCACAGTTTAAAAGTTTAACTAGAAGAGAAAGTTTGAGATGGGTGTGTGTAATGACCAAAATGACATGCTGGCGGCAGGAATATCTGCGACTTCCATCAACAAACATGAATGCTAGGACCTACCTCTAACAGTCATGGGCATCCAGGAAATAGAGTTCTAGACTCATTACGCGAGTAGGTCAACTACAGGTACGAAGTTTGGAACAATACAACAATTCACATTTTCATTCTAGGAAGCGGACTGGAAGTTGGCAAACGGTTAAGACACATACAGCCAGTTTATTCGCCTCCTAGTAGAGTAACAACACACCTACCGAGGGCTCTCTGTACCCTCTAAATATTTTGCTATTGAACATTTGGGGCGCCCATTAAGATTGGTTTCAGCTAAAGACTGATAAGCCTTGGGAAAGCAAGCAAGTGACGAATCAGAACACATATCATTCCTTTGTACTAGCTGACAACTCGCACGTAGACTGTTAGCCATAAAATCTGCGCGTAAGGTTGCCGCAGTCTACATTACCGTCCTCGATTCATATACGGTCTGTATGAACAGTAACGCGATCGAGAAACGTTTGTTAGCTGACCGATCTAGTGTCTCCAAACATCTAGTGTTGTTTACCGGTGCCATTAACCTAGTTTGAGCGTTAAAAATACGGGGAAACTATTTCGGCTTCCGGTGGTGAGGCACCAAATTTCAGGTCGGCTGAATCGGCCGAGTACTCTTATTCTGCCTAACTGCGTTATTATCTCAGTAGCAGTATGTTCCTGACGAGGCTCTTCCACATTTCTCTGAACTTGCCTCACCTACTGTTTATTGGGAAGTTTTCTAAGAGTATGGTACCGAGGCAAAATGCTGCTCTGAACGGGAGGATCTAAAGGTTTGAGAACAATCAGAGACTAGAGGATTACAGTTAGTGAACAATTATGGTTCTCCGGCAACCTGAAGCACATGTATTTATAGTAGAAAATTTGGGACGTTGTGTTCATTTTTTTATCTTACAGGAAATAATGGAATCCATGAAGAAGAAAGCAGATTGGTCGAATCAAGATGCGAATGGTAATGAATCCAGAACCAAGCCGACTCAAGGACTCCACACTGAAAGCGCCTATCGAAGAAGAAATGAGGACAATTCTTGGTTCACTCATAAATCCGCCAACAATAGAGACTTAGCTTCGTCAAGTTTCGGGAAGGTACATTCACGGGTGCGGTACGAAGGTGTTGTGAATGCGGAAAAGAACCAGGTAAATTATCATATTTGATTTTTCAAAGCTTACCAAATCTTGGGAAATGCTTGGGACTGATTGGGAAGTTATCGTTTCAGAGAGGTTTGGTAAACAATCGGTGGATTTATTGACATTTAGCGAGCGTAGACGTTCCATTAACAGACCACCGAGAAACGCAGAGGAATACCAGGCGTTGGACAAAGATTCGGCAATGGCAGGGCATTCTCTAGACACTGGGCATAGGATAGATTTAGAAAATGTAGACATCTTGGGACGGGGTTTAAGATGCCCACCACAGCGACTGGTGGCCAAGGCGGTGGAAATCGCAAGGCACCCCTGTGTGAATAGAATAGAGCCGATAGAACTTGCGAACATGTGGAGAGCGGTCTTAGATCGGCCGAGACGACACGAGGTGGTGTGCAGTTTTCAGCGAAATCTAAGTAGAGTTAGATCCAATTAACCACCCAACCCCAAGCTGATTATCCCAGCACTCTTGGACGAACACAGGTGAACCAAATCTGTAAACAACCCAGGAAAAATTTTCCATTAAGGTGTCCTAGACTGAAGAAGCAAGGACGAAGAATCCTGGCTCACCTTAAACACGCATCCCCCCTAACCAATCTACCGTAAATCTTAGCCATCCCCACTGATCAACAAACAGGAACATCAGACTGAACACCCAGCACTGATCAAGTCGGCTAGTCGTACGAAATCTCACGGATTGGCTCCCTTACTGCCTTAAAACCCAGTCAACCTACTTACTTACTCAGTTGGCCTGACGAAGCTTTTGTGTCAAAAGCGAAACGTTGAGCAGCAATAAATCCACCGATAGCATACTAACTCTTCTGTTGAAGACCTCGATTAAGAAGCAAACCATTTGAAGTAATAATGACCTTGAGTTCTTCCGTATGACTTAGCTTGATCGATCGTGCTTTGCTGTGTTACGCTGGATCCTCAAAAAATTGCTGTGAGGTTTGGGATAAAAGTAAAAAGCGGTTTAATTATCTGTGGTGCGCAAACCGACAGAAACATGAATGTTCAGTCAGTGCGCGATTGTTGTGCCAAGTCAAGGATGAGTTTTGACTGTCGACCCACCCCACGTTTCACTCTTGAAGAATAAAGGAGCGCGAGTAGGATGAGTGAGTTATAAGTGAAAATTATTTGGGCCTCAAAGAACTCAATACCGCTCCAATAGGAGACAAACTGAAGTCCAGTACTACCATTCTTTGGTGTAGAGAGTCACGGGAATAATTGTACGAGGACAGTGAAAGGATTGTTCACACGGGAATGCAAACTGCTAGAGGAGTCATTTTTAACGAACTAGAATTAAAGATAAGTTGACTGGATTAGCCCTGGTTGAAGCAGAGACTATCGACGCAGTAGTGTACATTGGCAAATAAAATTGTTAGTATTCTGGAGAGATATGGTAAGTTCTAATCGAGATTTCATCTTGTCACGGAAGCCAATCTGTAATGAAAAGCAGAGAGGCACAGCTGCTTCATTCTTAGTGGGACGAGACAGCTGTACAGTACATCTCGAATTCCGTATAGACTGGGTTCATAGGGAGGATAAAATTTCTATTTCAATTTAAATTAGTGTTAGCTAAGTGCAAACTGCATCAGATCTGTTTAAAATTAGACTCCCAGTCTACTATTATTCATCCATGTTCAGATTTCGCTGTTGCACCTGCAGACCCCTCTTTGTGCCCGATTCATCCGTTTTTATATTGTTTAAGGAAGAACTTATCACGAGATACACTCACTTGCAAACAGATTTGGTTTTGCGAGAGACGAACCTGAAACCCAGCTGAATCTACCGTTTATGTCGTTTCCTAAGCAACTGAATGTGCAGCACCAGGTCGCCTCATGTTTCACTTGGTACGATATTCGTGATATCGCGATACATGTATAGACGTAATACACTACTCATAAGGCTGCTGAAAATTCTTTGTAGTCTTTTGAAGAATTTTCAGCAACCTTATGAGTAGTGTTTTGAAAACTTATCGCGTTTGTTGTTAATTAAGGTAGAGGTTAGGTTATCACATGGAGAACAAAAATTTCGTCATGTTTTTTCCCATACCTGCGGATAGAGTCCTACCTGACAAATTACCTTCAGTTAATGCCAAAAGGGCCCGCTCTTTTTATTTTCGCGCGCAATATAGGGCACACCAGACATACTTCACATGATGAGCACAGGCACACTTATAAATGGTGTACCTTATGGGTGTCCAACCACGGAAGCACAGTATAACTCACGATGGGCGAAAATGGGAAGCGATATGGCGATGTGCCTCGGTCATCCTCCACAAGTAAAAGATGGTGAAGATAAACGTGAATCGTCGGAACTAAAGACGCGTGCCGCAAAAGTACGCGGATCTGATGCGGAAGAGTGGCGCGATCGTGGAAAACGTGGACACGAATTTTTCGGAGCTCCGAAAATTGGTACGTTGGACCAAATGTGGGCAAAACTTTCAAGTATAGTCGGGTAGTAATTGTTCAGTTGTAACGTCCTTTTGGTGTCTAGCTTCCATGCTAACTGAAGGAAATATAAGGGCTAGGGTTCTGCCAAGTTGCCTAAGCCTGGACATGAGTAAAACGTGCAAATCGGCGGTATGATCAGCAAGCTTGTGACACACCGCCTGTACAAGAACTATTATTTTAGAACTATGTTTTGGAACAGGTAACAATTTTGTGCTTTAGAGTGACTCCTTTTCCTCAAGGAACACATGGCCGGTGGTGTACGTTAGCTGAATAGCGCAACAGAGGATTGCAGAAACGCGGTTGCATTTGGCAAGTTGTGCTTTTAAACTGTGCATCTTTAGTCAGTCATCTCCGCGGTGATACTGTGCTATTTTATGTCATACCCTCTGATGTCATCTCTTTGAAAGACACCTAAAAATACTGTGTTGGTCAGAACTAATGCAGCTGGTTTGTAGAACATTAAAATCACTAAGATTTATCTCTCGACCAGCCAGATACTCTACCTTCCCCAAAATAGGGCCTGATGTTAGTATAGACCATTTCTTAGATGAGCCTGCATTCTTTGGCAGATTTCTTTACGATTCTTTTCATCCACGAACACGAATTTTCATCTCGATAGGTAGTCTAGGATGTTAGCTTTCCTAGAAATATTGAACTGCCATAAGCAGAAAGCTTACAGCAATTCTGGTTGAAACGATTGACTCAGCCTTTTGATAGGCATGCTCGAGTATGTTGAAAGACCAGTACTTCAAAAGGATTGGCGGTGTGGACGAGGCTGTCAAAGAAATCGCCACGTTAGCTGACCACACTTATGTTTAAATCCTGTTGGAATATGTATTCTACCATGAGCATACTAATAGTGAATGGCTCATGTGCACTTTGTGGTGATCAGTCTCCGCAGTTTATGAACGAGCAGAAAGGCTGTTTTCCGTGGGTTGCATGAAACTGAGTGACAGCATAGAAAACTGCACTGTCGTGTTGATGTTGGTCCCCAGAATCCTTGGAAATGTCCAGAAAATCCGGAAACTAAAGTGAGCGCTGAACTTCAGCCATGGTATGATTGTGGAATAAAAAGAATCCCTCTATGCTTTTTGACAAATGCAACGTTTTTGGTGGCAGACAATTTTACTTTCTTTGTACCAACTTATCTGTAAATTTTAAATGATCTTGGATTACAATTACGGAAGTTGTGCTTGAAGAACAAATAGGTCATACCGTTTCGTTGTAAGGTGTATGATTCGTCTTAATGACACGGTGTTTATGTCTTGAGCTCTCTGACGATGAAAACTTTGGAAAAAGATCGGATGTGCTACTGGTTCGACTCAAACGATTGGACACAGCCAGTGTTAAAGTTGGAATGAATAGTAGGCAAATGATAAAAGACCAGGAGATCTTCACGTTAGGGGTCCTAAAGCGCGTCTTATCGTATCATGTGCTACGTTCAGCAAACTCATCGGGTTATAACTGACAAGCATGATGTCAATGAAAGAAGTAACTGTTGATTGAAAACTGTTGAGTTTTTTATGTACAGGCGATTTTTGAATATTTTACATCACTCCGGTGTGTGGATGAAAATAAGAAGATACTGCAAATATGTGCGAGCTAAACGACTTTAAATTCTGGTGAAAATCAATAGTTTGATCATCATACAGATGGCTAGAATGTCTCTCCAATTACAAATTGCCGCGTGGACTTTTATTGAGGGCGTTTAATTGATTTTGTGAACCCGACTTGTAATACTCAAGCCTTTTTGACAAGAAGAGGGAATGGTCTGATCTCTTCATCTTCAGCTGAATCCAGACCCGCAACCGCTTCCAGAACACGACCAGAGGCCCAGGATATTCTCAATAAATCCATCAGCGGTGCTCAAATCCTCAACTGTCTCCGGATCACCGATACAAGTCGTGCTGGTATGTCAGATAATCGGGAACCTCCAGCGATCCCACGTATTCGGTCTGAAGAGGCTGAACAGGCTATGATGAGAAACCGCGGGCAGATGGCTCAGTATGTGGGCAGTGGAGCCCATTCTGTGACCAAGCCTTGTGGTCGGAAGATCCATGTGAGACGATTTTATAAAACTGGAAACTGTACTTTGGCATTTTGAACGTTAGCTAATTTTGAAAATGTTGGCAAGTGGTAGACGGAGTATATGATTTAGATCGAGTCAAAGTCATATCGTTTAAACGTCTTGACGAGGTACATGCACACACCAGACGAAATGTTATCTAGGCAAACTAATTTTTCATCAGTGTGTCAGCCTTCAACGGACAGCAAGCAAATCTGGGGCATGCATTTCTCAAACCTGGCCCACTGTTTCATTTACTAAGTGAGGGCAATGAATGCGAATTGTTTTGAAATGGGTTTTGTGCTTGCGAATCTTGGTAAAGCCACGTAAAATTGTGGGTCACATAAAGGAAACATCGAACACGCTGTTGAGCACACAACCCTGAACTCGCATTCCTGGCAATAAGTAATGCCCAGTTAGCTCACCGTAAGTGATGTGCAGTCAACAGATAGGTATGAAAGACTTTCATTTCCAAAAAACCCATGTGGATTGGTTACTTGGTTTAGCTCATCTGTGTTACGCCGTTCTTTGCCGTCCACTTGAGAAAAGGGACCTAGTGAAGGGTAAAGCTGGATGCACCTGTGGCTACAGGTTAACGGGGGCAATTATGAATGCTGTCTCCCATTGTTCGGTCATTTCCACTGCTTGTGCCTCAACAAAGAGGAATCGTAGCGGAGGTATCGTTTGTGAAAAGCGAAAACTTTCTACTGTATGCAGCATCCAAGCAAATAATGAGTCCGCAAATTGAACTATGGAATACGGAAGAGCTGATGCAATCGGGTCGGTGGTTGGGACAGGAAGTTGGACAAAATACCTAGCACGAAACAGGTGACACTAACCACAGACTTAGGTACGTCAGACAGTGCACCACTCGGATTTTACTGATAGGCTACTGTCCTTTTCATTGCTGAGTAGAAGTTAAATCTGTACAGTTGCGACGGATAGATGTGCTACTGGGCGAGAGAGGCTTCCAGAGCCACGTCATGATTATGTGGAAATCCAAATAATGATGCCAGATAATACACAGCCAGGGACATTATACGTCAGATCAGCTGCCGACATTTCACTACACAGCATTCCAGATAGCCAGTCTGGACGTTTAACATTTCAGCACGATACACCTTGTCTAGTTCCTGGATGCAGTTCGAAGCGAGTTCAGTTCTTGTCAGGCTAGATTAGTGTACATTTGGAGTCGGTAGAAACGATTCAGTGTCTTTGAACGGAAAATGTCTTCTGAACCTATTTCAGATGTTGATCTCATGAGAAACTCAATTGCTATGGCGCTGGCTGATGCACGTTGCTGTATTTCTAACACAATATAAAGGTGAAGTTCCCGCAGATTACTCGAAAGGGATATGCCCTATTCGACCGAAGCTGCATTTTTGAAAGCGTTGGGTGTGATAAGTATTTATTATTCATTTATTTATTTAATTAATTAATTTCTATTAATGGATGGTAAGGCGATAAGTGAAAACCAGCTGGTGCTTCATTTGTTTCTGAAATATATCACTGACCTATGCACACACCCACACAGTGTTCTACTTCAGGAAACCAAATTCCGTACACCATGAGATGTGAATTCAGATAATTCGAGGGAACATCCTTGATCCGTAGCTTGATGTTCTGAGCCTCAGCTCCTGAGCTTGCCAGACGACCTCCGGTTGTATCAGAACTGAGGTTTAATTAGATGTACCACTGAAGACCGTGACTATCCAACTGACCACTTAGACTACCCTGTCGAATTGTGGATTTGCGCGATTAAGATGGAGTTGCTTACAAAGCTGTTTTGTTTTTCTTTTCTTTGCCGTCACCATATACTGGTTAAAAAAGGCGTTCGAAGCCCGTAGTTATGCTTTACTGACTACCCTGCCGAATTGTGAATTTGCGCGATTAAGATGGAGTTGCTTACAAAGCTATTTTGTTTTTCTTTTCTTTGCTGTCACCATATACTGGTTAAAAAAGGCATTCGAAGCCCGTAGCTATGCTATACTAATATCTCCCGTGCTATTTCAGCCTCGTGGAATTGTTTCCGCAGAAAGTCGTGAAGTGGCACTTCGAGCGATGGGAGAAGCTGCCAAAGAACTCTTGAGCCACGATAAGCTTCCGCCAGAGCCAGTACGAAGTGGATTCGCAGCGATGTCCGAAGAGGTGCGCGAAAATGCTTATCGGAATCAGAAAGGTCTTATCGGTGGCCTAATTGGAGGCAAGAGTGATGAACTTTCTTCTATCACATTAGTTGGAGTGGAGGCCCCTGCGCCACGAAGATTACATTACGAAGCTGTAGAATATGCGCTGAAAAACCGCGGTGACCGAATGAGTGACCTGCTGAAATTCAGTTAAGTCACGGCGATAAGATTTGGCGAAACGGTTACTCGTTATCGTTCAGAAGACCCGTTTATGAGTCACAGTCAGTGAGACATGGCCTTCAATTCTGGAATCAATCTACCACTTATTGTGACCCAGTCATTGACTGCCAATTTCTCTGGGATATTTTCATATTTCTACTCGATCTCATGCGAATATTTCTCGTTATTTTTTCAAACTATTATACAGATCAACAAGTCGCCTCATGCAAACGAAGACAACTGTTTTACAGTCAGTGGACAAAGTGCTATAAGATTAAAACTTCGGTGTTCGGTTGTGGCACTCAGCAGGGGTGAGTAGGTACCAACAACAGAATTGTTCAGCTGTTATACCCTTTCGGTGCCTAGCTACCGTGCGACCCAAAGGAAGCACGAGGGCTGAAATTCCATCAGGTTGCCCAAGCCTAGACAGGAGAAGTCAAGATACTGAGATGCGGTGCGAACCACGGACTTCGAGGCCAGTAATTTCACGCCTTAACTACTGAACGAGCTGAGTAGCTACCGATGAGTTTGAACTTCGCATTCGACCAATTCAGTCTTTTATTTAGTAAAGGGAATTAGAACGCCATGCCTCTACACGTTCTGACTGTTCGACAGGTTAAATGTGTCAGGACTTACGGTGAGACTCCTGTAACACCTTGTAACTAGATGGACGGTTCACCGAATCGTGGATGGAAATCGTGCATTGTGAAGTAGTTGGGGGACCATTCCTCATTTTTTCCAACACAGTGTTGCATTTTTAGAACGAAACAATTGCTATTATTCACATTGCTATCGTTTGGAGAGTTCTCTGCCCGTCCTTTTGAAGTAATTCTAGCCAGACAGAAAGTACGGAATTCGAATGAGCTGTCACAGCTCATCCACAGTGCATAAAATTTGGTCGACCATCTGGATGTTCGAACATCACTAAAAGCACTCTAGAATCAGTAGACAAAACCATTCTCATTCTTGTGGTATGTGGAATGGACTCGATTCCTGGAACGTTTCCGCTGTGCCGACTTCTCAGTCACGCAACTTCAAGAAGGATTTAAAGTCGCCAGACAGTTCGGACACACGTATGCACAGTGACACCGTCGAAAGAACTGCCTTTACGGGATAACAATGTGCTTCTTGTGGGAAGAGTATATAGCAAGAAGCTATTACATGAATTCAGCACCGGGACAGCGGTAGGAGTGATAGTCGCTCCATATCCAAGCACATTCATGACTGAGATATGAGTGCAACGTAGCGAACTCAGTCATTTAACACAGGTCGCTACAAGTCCTGAGAAGCGCCGACAACGGAAACAACGGTAAGTTGAGGAAATCTACGTGTTACGTCACTGTATGCTCCAGCTTCGTTACCACCAGTCCTTATCACAGCTATGACCTGTTCCAAAGCTGGATCTACGTACAAGTCTTATCAACGAAAAAGGCCCACGGAAGTGGCGAGNGGTGTATGATTTGTCTTAATGAAACGGTGTTTCTGTCTTGAGCTCTCTGACGATGACAACTTTGTGCCACTGGTTCGACACAAACGATTGTTAAAGTTGGAATGTTAAAGTTGGCATGTGATAAAAGACCAGGAGATCTTCACGGTAGAGGTCCTAGAGCGCGTCTTATTGTATCATATGCTACGTTCAACAAACTCAACGGGTTACAAAGGGCAAGCATGACGTCAATGGGATAAGTAACTGTTGAGTTTGTTTTATGTACAGGCGATTTTTGAACATTTGCCAACACTCTGGTGTGCCGTGCAATATTCAGTACTCGCCCGATTTACAATACATGCCTGCATTTTCACACAAGTTACAACAGTTAGGTAACCGTAGATAAAAAAGGAAATCGAAAGCAGATCAAAATTCATTTCGACCTTTCAGACTACGTCAAGCCTATTCAGACAAGTCTTGTGGATGAAAATAAGAAGATACTGCAAATATGTGCGAGCTAAACGACTTTAAATTCTGGTGAAAATCAATAGTTTGATCATCATACAGATGGCTAGAATGTCTCTCCAATTACAAATTGCCGCGTGGACTTTTATTGAGGGCGTTTAATTGATTTTGTGAACCCGACTTGTAATACTCAAGCCTTTTTGACAAGAAGAGGGAATGGTCTGATCTCTTCATCTTCAGCTGAATCCAGACCCGCAACCGCTTCCAGAACACGACCAGAGGCCCAGGATATTCTCAATAAATCCATCAGCGGTGCTCAAATCCTCAACTGTCTCCGGATCACCGATACAAGTCGTGCTGGTATGTCAGATAATCGGGAACCTCCAGCGATCCCACGTATTCGGTCTGAAGAGGCTGAACAGGCTATGATGAGAAACCGCGGGCAGATGGCTCAGTATGTGGGCAGTGGAGCCCATTCTGTGACCAAGCCTTGTGGTCGGAAGATCCATGTGAGACGATTTTATAAAACTGGAAACTGTACTTTGGCATTTTGAACGTTAGCTAATTTTGAAAATGTTGGCAAGTGGTAGACGGAGTATATGATTTAGATCGAGTCAAAGTCATATCGTTTAAACGTCTTGACGAGGTACATGCACACACCAGACGAAATGTTATCTAGGCAAACTAATTTTTCATCAGTGTGTCAGCCTTCAACGGACAGCAAGCAAATCTGGGGCATGCATTTCTTAAACCTGGCCCACTGTTTCATTTACTAAGTGAGGGCAATGAATGCGAATTGTTTTGAAATGGGTTTTGTGCTTGCGAATCTTGGTAAAGCCACGTAAAATTGTGGGTCACATAAAGGAAACATCGAACACGCTGTTGAGCACACAACCCTGAACTCGCATTCCTGGCAATAAGTAATGCCCAGTTAGCTCACCGTAAGTGATGTGCAGTCAACAGATAGGTATGAAAGACTTTCATTTCCAAAAAACCCATGTGGATTGGTTACTTGGTTTAGCTCATCTGTGTTACGCCGTTCTTTGCCGTCCACTTGAGAAAAGGGACCTAGTGAAGGGTAAAGCTGGATGCACCTGTGGCTACAGGTTAACGGGGGCAATTATGAATGCTGTCTCCCATTGTTCGGTCATTTCCACTGCTTGTGCCTCAACAAAGAGGAATCGTAGCGGAGGTATCGTTTGTGAAAAGCGAAAACTTTCTACTGTATGCAGCATCCAAGCAAATAATGAGTCCGCAAATTGAACTATGGAATACGGAAGAGCTGATGCAATCGGGTCGGTGGTTGGGACAGGAAGTTGGACAAAATACCTAGCACGAAACAGGTGACACTAACCACAGACTTAGGTACGTCAGACAGTGCACCACTCGGATTTTACTGATAGGCTACTGTCCTTTTCATTGCTGAGTAGAAGTTAAATCTGTACAGTTGCGACGGATAGATGTGCTACTGGGCGAGAGAGGCTTCCAGAGCCACGTCATGATTATGTGGAAATCCAAATAATGATGCCAGATAATAGACAGCCAGGGACATTATACGTCAGATCAGCTGCCGACATTTTACTACACAGCATTCCAGATAGCCAGTCTGGACGTTTAACATTTCAGCACGATACACCTTGTCTAGTTCCTGGATGCAGTTCGAAGATACACGAGTTCTTGTCAGGCTAGATTAGTGTACATTTGGAGTCGGTAGAAACGATTCAGTGTCTTTGAACGGAAAATGTCTTCTGAAAGCGACCTATTTCATAGTATTCACGAAATTCTTGGGCCAACTGAAGTTCGTATTACTGAGCAATTGAAGAACAACACATCAGAGCATTTCAAATGTATTCTGAGAACTAGACTTTGACGCTTACTGTAACACCGAATCGCGACGTACGTAAGTATTCCCAGTTTTTCACACCTAGTGAACTGTGGTACGATGCTATGTGACGAGCACTGTTCCTTTGTGGATGTTGATCTCATGAGAAACTCAATTGCTATGGCGCTGGCTGATGCACGTTGCTGTATTTCTAACACAATATAAAGGTGAAGTTCCCGCAGATTACTCGAAAGGGATATGCCCTATTCGACCGAAGCTGCATTTTTGAAAGCGTTGGGTGTGATAAGTATTTATTATTCATTTATTTATTTAATTAATTAATTTCTATTAATGGATGGTAAGGCGATAAGTGAAAACCAGCTGGTGCTTCATTTGTTTCTGAAATATATCACTGACCAATGCACACACCCACACAGTGTTCTACTTCAGGAAACCAAATTCCGTACACCATGAGATGTGAATTCAGATAATTCGAGGGAACATCCTTGATCCGTAGCTTGATGTTCTGAGCCTCAGCTCCTGAGCTTGCCAGACGACCTCCGGTTGTATCAGAACTGAGGTTTAATTAGATGTACCACTGAAGACCGTGACTAATCAACTGATCACTTAGACTACCCTGCCGAATTGTGAATTTGCGCGATTAAGAAGGAGTTGCTTACAAAGCTATTTTGTTTTTCTTTTCTTTGCTGTCACCATATACTGGTTAAAAAAGGCATTCGAAGCCCGTAGCTATGCTATACTAATATCTCCCGTGCTATTTCAGCCTCGTGGAATTGTTTCCGCAGAAAGTCGTGAAGTGGCACTTCGAGCGATGGGAGAAGCTGCCAAAGAACTCTTGAGCCACGATAAGCTTCCGCCAGAGCCAGTACGAAGTGGATTCGCAGCGATGTCCGAAGAGGTGCGCGAAAATGCTTATCGGAATCAGAAAGGTCTTATCGGTGGCCTAATTGGAGGCAAGAGTGATGAACTTTCTTCTATCACATTAGTTGGAGTGGAGGCCCCTGCGCCACGAAGATTACATTACGAAGCTGTAGAATATGCGCTGAAAAACCGCGGTGACCGAATGAGTGACCTGCTGAAATTCAGTTAAGTCACGGCGATAAGATTTGGCGAAACGGTTACTCGTTATCGTTCAGAAGACCCGTTTATGAGTCACAGTCAGTGAGACATGGCCTTCAATTCTGGAATCAATCTACCACTTATTGTGACCCAGTCATTGACTGCCAATTTCTCTGGGATATTTTCATATTTCTACTCGATCTCATGCGAATATTTCTCGTTATTTTTTCAAACTATTATACAGATCAACAAGTCGCCTCATGCAAACGAAGACAACTGTTTTACAGTCAGTGGACAAAGTGCTATAAGATTAAAACTTCGGTGTTCGGTTGTGGCACTCAGCAGGGGTGAGTAGGTACCAACAACAGAATTGTTCAGCTGTTATACCCTTTCGGTGCCTAGCTACCGTGCGACCCAAAGGAAGCACGAGGGCTGAAATTCCATCAGGTTGCCCAAGCCTAGACAGGAGAAGTCAAGATACTGAGATGCGGTGCGAACCACGGACTTCGAGGCCAGTAATTTCACGCCTTAACTACTGAACGAGCTGAGTAGCTACCGATGAGTTTGAACTTCGCATTCGACCAATTCAGTCTTTTATTTAGTAAAGGGAATTAGAACGCCATGCCTCTACACGTTCTGACTGTTCGACAGGTTAAATGTGTCAGGACTTACGGTGAGACTCCTGTAACACCTTGTAACTAGATGGACGGTTCACCGAATCGTGGATGGAAATCGTGCATTGTGAAGTAGTTGGGGGACCATTCCTCATTTTTTCCAACACAGTGTTGCATTTTTAGAACGAAACAATTGCTATTATTCACATTGCTATCGTTTGGAGAGTTCTCTGCCCGTCCTTTTGAAGTAATTCTAGCCAGACAGAAAGTACGGAATTCGAATGAGCTGTCACAGCTCATCCACAGTGCATAACATTTGATCGACCATCTGTATGTTCGAACATCACTAAAAGCACTCTAGAATCAGTAGACAAAACCATTCTCAATCTTGTGGTATGTGGAGTGAACTCGATTCCTGGAACGTTTTCGCCGTACCGACTTCTCAGTCACGCAACTTCAAGAAAGATTTAAAGTCGCCAGACAGTTCGGACACACGTATGCACAGTGACACCGTCGAAAGAACTGCCTTTACGGGATAACAAAGTGCTTCTTGTGGGAAGAGTATATAGCAAGAAGCTATTACATGAATTCAGCACCGGGACAGCGGTAGGAGTGATAGTCGCTCCATATCCAAGCACATTCATGACTGAGATATGAGTGCAACGTAGCGAACTCAGTCATTTAACACAGGTCGCTACAAGTCCTGAGAAGCGCCGACAACGGAAACAACGGTAAGTTGAGGAAATCTACGTGTTACGTCACTGTATGCTCCAGCTTCGTTACCACCAGTCCTTATCACAGCTATGACCTGTTCCAAAGCTGGATCTACGTACAAGTCTTATCAACGAAAAAGGCCCACGGAAGTGGCGAGCTGATGTATCAGTGTATGCTACTGACGAAGCATGCAAGTAGTCTATAGTCTGATGTCCAAGCTCTGCTCTCGCATCCGATGGAAGGTGGATTCTACTGTGGAAATCATAAAACCGCTTTGCGACGTTTGTTTGCTATTTTGTTTACTATTTACACACTGAGAAAGAATGTTTAGCGGTCGTATGGGCCTAGTAAACCTTATCCCCATAGACATGCCCAAAACCATGTAACGAAAGAGTCAGTCAGCGGTCACTTTTCGAGTGTCACTGCTGCTATTCCTCCGGTTCCGGCAGCTGTGTAAACAATTCTGCCAGTTTGTGGACGGACCCGAAAACATGGAACGCTTATCTAACCGTTGCGTTCTGCCGATGTGCAGTTGTTATGAAACAAGGAGAAAACAGACAGGTAAGATAAGATTCACCGCGGTTGCCGGCGAGACTCGTACTGCAGACGTTTAGACCAATATCTCGGTTCATCTATCCCAACCATGACTGATTTATGCTTGAAAAAATGGGCGGCGTCCAACTAAAACTTCATCTGTACACGAGCCAGTCGATGTGACAGGTATGGGGCCGAAAGCTTCCCCAATAGACAGGGGGTCAAGACGGCTTTCTTTAAGTTGTGACACTTGACTCCGTCAAAGATAGAGAAGAGATAATCGAAACTCAATCCAAGCTTGCTATAAGGGACAAAAACGACATCTTCACTCGTTGAAAGCTAAAAAAGCACATTCAGAGTCCAACCAAGAAAGAGACTAGACTTGTCCACAGACACTTGTCCCTGAAGTTGTGGTGCTCTGGCGGGTTTTGGGAGCTAGTGGCATTCCAAAGGTAATTTGAACACCAGACTGCTCTGCAAGACCCATTTTGTCCAATCATATTCCGAGTGAGAACCATCCAAAGGTAGTCAGTTCTCTAAGGTATGAGAGTCCTAACTCATTATTTCAGCGACACTATAAACGGCATATTCCCCGAAAACGGGATGCTCTAAGGCTTGGCGACATTAAAAACCTACCCAATCACACAGCCAGTGGTGCCGTTGTATCATAAACATCATCCCGACCCAACTACAGTCCTTATCCCACTCCTAGGGAAAACAGAACAGCTTGGTATCAACGAGCTGCTTGGGCTGTTGCTTCAGAGATTTGGCTCTCCCACCTTGGTGGAGAAAATTTTGACACCAACCACATCGCTGAAGTGTGAACACGTTCGCCTGTTCAGACAAGAGAATTCAGATGCGTCCAACGTGCGTTGGTGGAGTAGTGGTTGCACGCTCGCCTCGCATGTCAGATGCTCGGGGTTCAAATCCTGGCACGGTCATTGGATATGCACTGCTGATGAGCTCTAATAAGGGCGAAAATTGAGTCTAGCGCTTCCCTTTGGTGTGGACTCACTGTAACAATTACGCCAGAACAGGAACACGACCGTTCAAACGAGGGTGGTGTAACTATGAACAAAATTTTAACAGCTGGAAAAAGTATGTTGGATGTCCAGTCCGTTCGACGGAAGAGGAAACGAACCGACGTGAAAAGTAGCCACGGATAAGGCCAATCTGTGGCTGACAACTGTTGTTTTTCTAGGTACGCGATGCGCCCACTCAGCTGTTTTGGATAACACCACAATCCAACATTCTTGGGGAAAGCAAGATTAATTTGCCTGGTGCATGGCTGGTGGTCTCACGTTGAGTAGGCAGACATAAACTGACTTAATAGGGCTTACAAATATCCGGTCACATAATTATCAATAAGCTAGACGATCACGGTCATTTCACACTGAACACGTCGATTAAAACAAAGGAAAATAGTACAACCTAGGAAACCCGATTCTCACGTTGAACACTGAAGATAATGGTACAGTCGTCTGAAAATAGACGAGATTAGTATTATCTTTTCCAAAAGTGGATGTAACGATGTGAAGATGAAGGTGAAGGAAGGCGGCAGGAAATACCTGATTCCAATGACTTCCGGACAACTCTGTTCATAAAAAAGCCTAGAATAAAGTGCTTCATTAACAATACAGGAATGTCTCTTTTCATAATACAACATTGTAGTATACATAACAGATGAAAAAATTCTTTTCCAAATGCGAAAGCGAGGAACAAAAATGCACAAAGGGCCGTAGAAAATCGGGGGCATGTGTACAAACGCAATTTCCTGTCCATGGACTGGTGAAACCGAATGAAAACGAGATCTTATGAAGTACTAGGACCGTTCGTGACATTGGTGCGGCCAAAGTGACGATCCAATTTGGTCACAATACATTGATAAGCACTCATTTCTTGATCTACGAACTCGTTTATTTGAAGACTGTAGCATTCATCCGCAACCTCGTCTATCAAATTTCTTAGTGACTGAGAACCACCTGCAGTGTTTCGTCGATCGGCACCTCGACCATGCATCTGATCGGTGGTCGCACGCTTGGTCACAAGGGGAAGAAAACAGATGATCGTAGCAACGACAATATGGCAAGCGAAGATGCGGAGGTAAGAATATGCAAAAACAACATAGTAATAGAGAGTAGACCGTTGACAGATTAAAATTCAAATCGAACGAAAAGATGATTTGAACACAATAATTGCACTAACTGTACAAATCTTCCTCACAAGTGGCAACAGTTTTTCTTACTTCACCAATATACCTCAGAGTGGTAAGGAGGATATGCGAACACCTAATGGCGTTCACTCTAGAAAGTGACTAGAACATTCAAAGAATAGCTACGACAAAATCTTCCGCCAAGTGCAAGCGCGTGCTCGGGATGCGGACCGCCTAGAACAACCAGGGGCTTCACGTCGATCGGAGGACAGTGCAGTGAACAGACTACCGACTAGAAGTAGACACGCTATCGTTGGTCGGATCAACAGTCAATTGGAATCAAGCATTGTGGGGTGACACTTTACGCTATGCAAAGAAGAGGAATATCGATCCACCCGCAAGTCTGTATTCTGATTTGCCAATTCACCCATAAGGCAACAAGAGCGTGCCCTCAAATCGAACCAACCCGCGGGCCAGGATAAAGGTGATTTAGATATCCAATAGGGGGTAAATAAAGGAAGAATATTTGGAAAAAAATGGACGGATAGGCAAGAAATATTTCAGAAAATTTCATAGATGCGTGCCTGATTGGAGCAGCAGCGCATCTGTCTAACAAAGAAGCCCTATGGTGATACCCTGTGAAGCAATGGGGATCGATAAATTAATGTCAGTCGATCCACCATGCCTCTTAAGCGCGAGAGCGCTCATTCGCCGCTGTCAAGTAGTTTTTGAAAGTAATCATTTACTTCGACCTGATATGCGGAAAATCGATTGTGTACGGAGTGACCATTTAGAGAATTCGGCGGTTAGCTATCTAAACAGTGTTGTGGTCGATGAAACGTAGTTTCTAGCCAGTATACGTCTTGATAAGCGCAAGTAAGACCCAGGACTATCAGGGGACCACGAAACTACGACTGTTCGCTGCACAGCTCTTTACATAGCAGCTGAGTAGATCGCCGATTGGTTATTTTGCCACAGGAAAAGTGACATTTCCAGCATTGATTTTACACACCCTTTTTTTCGCCGGTATATCTACTAATGACGAGATCTGCTTCCCGTTTGATTGTTACGCAATCTTTATGGGCATCAGTTAGGGAGTTGCCACCCTGCATATAAAATAGGCGAAAAATAGGCTAAGCGTGATTTGTAAAGTGTATTCAGAACCAAAACTTGGTCGCAATCTGTATAATATTGATACTACCAGACACCTCTGGTTTGAATCGGGCTGTAAGGAACCCGTAATTAACCGGACAGTAGGTGAGCCCAATATCCTTCAGGCTACAAGTCGATTTGCCACGAATCTACAGGATCAAGGTAGTGTGTGTCTGTTAGGATTATGAAAGCCATGGGAACATCTTTTGTGCCCGTAACTTATCCATTCATACGAGAAAACAAGTGACCCAAGTTAACAGATGAGATTGCATGAAATGCGACTAGTGAGAAAGCTTACATAATTGGCTGGATCGAACGAAAACACCTGTAATGGAAGGTGTCAAGGGCAATATAAGGACATTATGAAACTGTTCGTCCGAAAGCATGGTATTTCTGTTTGTCAGTTTTCTTTCCATCGACACGGGTTTGAGCTCAGTAAAGCGGTAACGGAATGAAGCGGATTAATTGTTGGGTAAAGTGCGAAGGAACCTAGATACTTGTTTGGAAAGATAGCATCCATAATCTCATTTGAAATACACTTAATTATCTTGGTGGCGACTCTACGCCGCTAAAAAGACAGTGGGGCCGGGTTGAAAAAGAATCTACTCAGGGTTTTCGGGTCCGCTACTAGCTAACATTCTGAAGTTACCCTGGAGCAGGTGTTATAGATCGAGGCGCCGTGCATTCTAACGTGGTTTTCTACTCAGGAGTGAAAATGGCGATTATCAAAAGAGCACAACAGCGGCTCCAAGGTCCTGCTTGTCATCAGAATAGGGTCTGAAAGACCAAGCTATGTTTAAATGAAAACAGAGACGGAAACTACAACAGCGTTCTTGCAACCATCTCCTGTTCAGATTGGGTGACTGCGTGCCTCGGCACTATGCATCCCAGGAAGTCCGTAGTAGTTTAGCAAGAGACCCGTTCTTTTCTGCAGGCCATTTCCATACTGAGCTAATTATTGCTTGTGCAATAGTAAACCTTAGCTTCTAACACTGATGTTGGTGTCTGAGATGCTAGTGATGGGAAAGATAATAAGGGAGCAGACATAATGTGATAACGCGATATCACTAATTTCTGTGTACGAAAGGCGAAGTATACCATTAGAAGTGGATCAAGTAGAACATTAAGAGTTCAGATCCGGCAATTAACTGATCAACTGGCAGCGAAAATAAGTATTATCGATCGTTATTTGGAACTAACCTCATAGTTGCTCTTGACGCGCTTGAGTAAAGCAGTTCGAAAAAGTTGCACTGCTTCTGGAGACCGGGGTAACTGATGGAGCTGCAGAATTTCGTAGACACGTTTGGCCTGGCATCGGCTGAGTTTCAGACATTGCTGAGCCTTGTCGCGAAATGCTAGATAGCAGGACTTTTGCGGTATAGTAAGAGAACTCCCATTCGCACTCGCCTGCTTCAGCAGATCCATTATTTCCGTTTGTTCCAAACAGCGTTTGCAATCGATAAAGTCTCTGATACGCCGAAAATCATCAGAAGGGTCTTCCACTGCAGACCAAAATCGGCAAAAGTAGAAAAGTATCAGATGGAGTTTCAAACAACCATTGGTTTGACATGGTGAGAAAATACACGTTGAACATAGGGAACGATAGGGATTAATCGAGTTTATCATATGGTTAAATTATCGTTCCAACAGCGTACTGTAAGACTTCGTCTTGTCCCGCCTATCGGAAGTCCCGTGTGTGAGGTCATTCAGTCAGTCGGCAGACTTCAGCTTGTTCCCCGAAACCTCATACCCCTAACCACTACAGCAGAATTCAATATAGAGTTCGACCTCAATGAACGCCTGCTTATTAATCGCAAGACTGATTTGTTTCCACAGTTTCGGAAACCATGTACACCGATAATCTCGGTAATTAGCCACTTGGACACGGACAAATATTCTCAAGGGCAACAAACCCAACATGAACTGAAGACTATCCAACGTATAGTACGGCTTATTCGATTTGTGACCCAAGTCCTGGTAGCTCCCACGTTTAGATAGCTTGGGCGAACGAAACGTGGATGTGTGATGTTTATGGAGTACAATCTGCATTTTGGAAGTACACATAATCAGTGAGGTTCTCGTCAGGGTGGTCAATTCAAATAATAACTATCGGCATGTTACAAGAGCTAGCTGAGCTCACTCGACCTCTTCATCAACACCGTGACTTTCAGCATTTTTCCGTTCCTTTGAATAACGTTCCCCCGTTTTCCCTAAGCGAATGTGAAAATCGAAGACTACAAAGACAGCCAAAGTTAGGATGTATAAAGCCGGGATGATCCCGACTCAACCAGGCAGCAAAATTTGACATCCTAAGGGTCCAAAGTGCCTCTAGCGAAATGTATTCTTCGTTCCAAAGCAATGAATAAAGATTAACACTGCTGTCCTGGTACTCAGTGCCCACTAGCATTTCATCCGGAAGAAGCTCCCGTCCACATGGATTCGTAGCCTTTTTCATTATACTGTGGGTCGAAAAGATTGTAAGGTTAGATCTAACAACCCTAGTGGCCCCCAGTTGGTATGGAGAACATTATAAAGTACCGTTGTCGGCAAGCAAACAGTCAGGGAATAACGCGTTTGGTGTACAAGACCCCCACTTCCGATCAGATTAAGAACACATTCACTACCGAGATTCCTCTCACGCTGCGATGCGAAATCAGCTAGTCCGAAATGAAGGCGTTCTCAACGTTTCTAGGATGAAGCCGTCACCATTTATTGATTTGAGCACTAAGTAGCACGGGCAATCATACAAGTCTAGCGTACGGTTAAACACGGTCTGATCTTGAGAACTGCCGCGGAAACCGTCGAACAAACTGACGAATTCAGACTGACTGGCGAAAGTAACAGATCATTCTGTGGATTCTAGTGATGTCTTCGCAAATCTAAAGCCGAAATAAAAGCTGGTCAAAAAGCACCTGCATATGTACGACTTTTGGAAACAAATATGTCACTTTATCCAAGAATTTGAAAAATTTCGATGGCAATCGCTAGTCAGACAGGAGTGCTTAATGGCGAGGATGCTGTTACGGGCATACCGTAGTGTTGTTGAACGAGTGATGGAGCGGATACAGTTGCGCCGACTTCGTGGCAGGTAGACAAGTGCGGAAGCTGAGAAAAACAGTATTAATATCCTGAATAAATGTTTCGCAGCCGCCTGTTTCATCTTTCGTGATAAGGGTTGCCAGGTTGCCTAAGCCTAGACAGAGGAAGTCGAGATGCAGTGGTTGGGTCATCAAATTTGCGCTTTAACCACAGAGCCATCTCGCCCTCAAAGTGCACATTCACAGAAGAATCATTACTTCTATATGGGAAGTTGTTTGGGGGACCAGTCAACAGGTAGTCACGTGATGTGAATCGCCTAAGTGAACGATCAGCGACGCTATATGCTGCCTAAATGTGGGTTAATCGCGATGCCGATCATGGCCGAAACAACTGGGATGTTGTGCGTTTGTGGGATGCCCCATGTCGATGATCACCTATAAAGACCAAATGGATGTACAATATTTCTAGGCTTTTCGGCATAGATTGACCGTACTCAATGTACGAAGTTTCGATTGAAATTTCCAAATCTTCTCACACTATCAATAACTCTCAGAACGGTTGCAACCATCAAACCTATCGATGGCGGACATGAGCCTGCTGCACTAGCTTCCATAGTCACAACATATATTCCTGACATTCCTTCACATTGTAGGACAAAGGACACTCTGGGTGAAACCAGGCCCCCCGATGAAAACACCAAAGTAGCGATGCGCTTTACCACCTGTTTGGATATCCAACTGCAAAAGAAAGACACCCAGCACCCCTATCGCTTTCTAAATAATTTGGTTACGCCAGTGCCTTTTATGGGGTTGACTCGGCTTAGTTCATCAACATTATAGTCATTTCCAAACAAATATTTGGAATATGAACTAATGTTAGGGAAATTGGACAATATGGTGAAGCAACACACGATAACTCGATAATTCGCAATTCGCCATATTTACCATTTCGCCATAACGGCGGAAAACATCTCTATCATACATTTAGCTTAGCTCCTGGTTTTAATCTAGTTGGTGGGAAAGTGACTTTGCGCCTAGATTACAGGCCCGCACAATTTTTTTGATTTGCTCGCGGAAATGCTTATTCCAAGGGAGCACAAATTTAGGGGTCGAAATCATGCCTAGAGAAAGATTACTGGATGTGAACAATACGGATAGTATTGTTGTTCGAGGACTACCAATGGGCAAAATCTACTCAGGGAAACGGTCCCTCGTTTTAATGACCGTTTAACAACTTCACAGTGGCTTTACTCAAGACTGTCAAGACCTCTGCCACTTTTTGAAACGAGTTTGAGTCGAACGGTTAATGTATCTGATCTGCTTTATAGGCAGTGATTATATTTTGTGAGAGATGAAGTCAACACAAGCCATTTACAGTGTCAGCCATATATATAAAGCAGTTAAAAGAGCGGTCTAACCTCAAATTAATGAAACACTAGCCTTCCGACCTGAAGACCTAAGATACACCTTAACACAACACCCGATCACCCGTACTTTCGAAACAGCGGAGTTGGCAAGGTGTAGCATGTCTGCAGAGAGACGATGAGTGAGTACACGGTGTCGATTCAAAACTACCGGCGCGGGAAATAAAGCTGTTCGATGGCGTTTATGGCATTACTAAGCGCACTGAATCACCGTCTGCCAAAAAGCATTGTTATTCACCATCGTTGGTGAGGGGTCAGCAGGGAGAAAGATGGTGAAGTAGCAATGTAAAATAAAAGCACCTGCAAGCAAGCTGGATGCTGTGGGATGTTCGCGTCTCCATGACTGAGGACTGTTAGCCGGACAGTGCCACCGTGCGCTGGACTCTCGTTGAGTAAGGTACCGAGTTGATATAGCTGGTAGTGTCCCACTTAGACGGTTTTCTACAAGCGTGGTATTATTGCTGCTTGAGGATGAGAGCACTTTATTCTTGGGGAGGGGCTTTTTCTTTCCACGCTTCACTAGAGAGCTATTTTCCCACGGTTCTATGGCAGTTAAGAGCCAGTAGCTATTTCAGCTGTATTGTTATCTACAATGGTGATGACGAGGTGATGCTGGTGGCTGCCGTTAGCACAAGTAGTTTATCAGCACTACTGTTACCAGTATTATTATTATCACTGGTGGCCCATGACTTCATGGAGGAAAACTTGTAACAAGACATAAGTGAACTTGCCTGTTATATCTCGAACATTTGGGACGTGAACAAAGTCTCGGTAAAAGGTCTGGAGAAGTTCTGAAGCATGCCCATTGTTGCGGAAAGGAGGAAGGATCAGGACCTGACTCAATCGGGGACGCAGGTTGGCCGGATAGGCATAGAATTTGAAAATAGTCATGTATCCGATGAATGCGTACGAGGGAGCTTCTCCATCCTGTTGTGGATCAATAACCTCAAACCTGCAGAGTGAAATCAAAGTAAACCAAAACCGGCAAAATTACAGTGTATAGTAGCACCACTGTGTGTCGTCCGTGGGGATAGCTGAGGCCCCATCAACGAAAAAAAGCAGGAACGATTCCATTTTCTTGTGGTAGTCCAGAAACGCATCAAAATCAGGCATCCCGTGTTCAATAAAATATACACAGAATTTCTTCGTTTGCTTTGAGCCTGGCGATCGACACATGATCAAAAAGCTTACCAATTGTCTTTTTGTAAGTGTGCCTAATTGTTCCATAGGGCTTGAAAGTATCATTGTGAAACGTCTGGAAAAAATCGACTAGGGAGCGATCGAATTTGTAGGGGAAGGTTTCCGACAAGAGCTGATATATATCGTCAGGCTAGAAAAAAAGATAACCAGTACGTGCCATATTTTACCAAAACACCTTTCGCAGTGACGGGATCGATTGAAGCTGAAAATGTGGTACCGATGTACGTTGACAAAGAACCAGCAAGGTACCAGATATTGACTTTCAAATCGCGATAACCAAATATGGTTTCACTGGCAGGTGGAAAGGATTCAGTAAGACGGAACTTGGGACAAACCTTTCGCCAAAAATCTGATGGGCAAACTCTGGGTGAAATTCCACTCCACCCTCGAAATCTGCTTTCGTCCTGACTGAAGACAGACTTATGAGAGCACTCCACCCTCGAAATCTGCTTTCGTCCTAACTGAAGACAGACTTATGAGAAGACCAGCAGTAAAACATACTCATTTTGAAGCTGATTGCTTCACAAGCGTTAGCCCGGAACTCATTGAGAG